CTGTGTGTGTTTATATACCAAATATGATTTTTAATTTTCGAAGCAGGTGAAAAGACTAACCCTACCTAATATGAAACTGCAATTTTACAATTTAATTATTAGTCAGATATGGGCAAACCACATGATAGTTCATGAAATCTTTAGGTCTATCTACATTGCTCAGAAAACACAAAATAAAGTTTTTACAACTTTCACCTCCAAAAGGCTAAAATGTTCAGTCTTTTAGAAGAGTGTCCAGTGTTTAAAAGAAACGCAATTAACAGGGAGACTGCATCCAATCCACACGGGCACGACTCCTTTGAGCCTGCCAATCTACATATTTAACAGCTGTGTGTGGGGTGATGAGAAAGGAGAGCACCTGCCATCCAACCACCACCCCAGGTGTGCCCTCTCTGGCAGTGAATCTTCTCTGCAGCTTCCCCAGAAGAACCTGGAGCTCCCCAGGCGTGTTTGCCCCTTTTGTTCCCACAGTGGGCAGAGAGCTGGCCCAGGGTTTGCCACAGAGTCATCTTTGGGACTTCAATAATGTAGGCAATCCTCTGCAGACTTGGCCAAAAAAGTTGAACCAGTGAATGTTATTTCCTCCTAACTACCTTTAAAAAAAAAAAAAAGAGGAAGTGCTCGTGGGAATGCCATAATTACTGGCCAGCTTTTAAGTAAGAAATTAATACTTTAACATTGGCGCTGTCACCTCACTGTTGGAGATGTCTTACAGAAGTGCAGTGCTTTCTGTCTCAGTGTCTCCAAGGAACTGAGACAAACCAACGATAAAAAGAGCCCTAATTTAGAAGAGTCTTCTCCCTTGCCATGTGAATAAGAGCAGCTATACTGAGCCTATTTCACTCAAATAATAATACAAAGAGTAGATATTGATCTGGTTTATGCACAGACTCCAAAGTGCTTTCAACTGACAGACAGAGAGCATCCCTCCGTGCTTGAGAGTGGGAAAACAAAACTGCACAGAGCTTTGCCCAGGGCAGGGAAGAACAACATGGGCAGGGTAGGAACACAAACCATCCCCCCTGGCTCCAGTACATAAACCAAGGAGAAGACATATGTGCCAGCAGTAATATTCATTGTAGTGAATAGGCAGCAATCTGTTTAAAATTGTTTCTTTCCTAAAGCCCATTTGTCAGGACACCAGCTTAGCTGATCCAAGTGCAGCAGCTTGTATTTGTGTTATCACCGAGATGTTTGGGGGAGGTGAGCGTATAATACTGGAGCATATTGTTGGCTTTCACCTTTTTTGATGAAATTTTTTATTTTCCTTAAAAGATATAACTTAAAAATTCTCTGAACCAATTTCTTTCTCTCGGTCTTTTTTTTTTTTTTTTTTTTTTTTTTTTTTTTTTTTTTTTTTTTTTTTTTTTTTTTTTTTTTTTTTTTTTTTTTCTTTCCAGCTAAGGACAGACAATTATTACCAGCCAGCACTGTAATATTATTTAGTGTAAAAGACACTGTGTCCTGCCCAGCACACAAAAGAGAAGAATTGTTTTAAACCTATGCAGACTTTCTCTCACCTTTAGCATGAGGGCGTTTGTCAGTCATTATTTTTACTCTAAATAATTAGTGGCATTTTCAGTTGCAGGGCGTATTTGTGAAAGGCTTGAGACAGACAACTCAGATTCTCCCAAAGCTCACTGCCAAAAGCAGCTCCCCACAGCCTGACCCAGTCTGGGACCATCCTTGGGCAGGAGGGACTCGTAAAGCTCCTGCAGGGCACTCTGTGCTTCGTGCCACACCCAGGGAGGAAGATGGACTGTGTGCCAAGGAAGATGGACTGCGTGCCAAGGGACAGACTAACCCAAAGATGTTCTTCCAAGGAAAAATCCAGTCTTTCCAAAGACTGTCAGGGAAATGGCTAAAAATGCCTGCTGAATGATCTCCTCTACACTGAGGATTACAAACACGAACTGAACAAAAAGAGTGATCACAACTGACTGTGGAGAGAGGTTAAAACACACATATCTTGTCCCCAACAAAGCCAGTTCCTGCAGCCCCTGTTCCACGGTGAGAAGCAGCAGCTGTGCTGTAAAGGTGTGCATTTATTGCTCTTCCAGATGTGCAGGGAACTCCTGGCCGAGGCTGGGAGCAGGGACCTGTGTGATGGATGTTCTGGCAGGCTGAGGAGATTCTCACCTGCCCCATCAAACTGCTCCCCCTGACCCTCAGAGAGACAACCCTGCCTTTGAGGCCAGGCTTGATGTGTGACTGCAGACACTGTGACCAGCATGTGGTGAACCAAGGAAGAACCTGCAGCAGTTTGGACTTGAAATGCGAGGCTCTGACAGCTGAAGCAAAGAATTCAATGAAGAATTCCAAAGGTGAATGACCTCAAGAATCAATGTCTTCAAATCAGAGGCTTTGCTGGGTCAGCCAAGTTTGATTCCCACTGCTGATGGCACTCTTAGCCATCAGTTTCTGGGGTGAGATGGTATTAAACTGTTTTTGCAGAGAGCTGTTCTGTCTCTGAACTGCCAGTTCCCAGGAGTCTCTGATCAGTAGGGTCAGATGAACACTGGGATATTGAATTCTGCAGTTTCCTAACGCTCAGCTGGATCTCCAGTACCCGTTTGCACTGATTATCTTCACACCTTTCCCAGCTTCACAAGCAGGTTTTTGTTCAGAGACAATATCTGAGTCATGGCCATGCTTGTGAAAAATCTCTTTTTAGATAATCCAGGTCAAGAGTGCCCATGCAAGAGTTTGTTATTTTTTCCTTCATTATCCCTTGGTTTAAAAAAAGCCTCCCATTTAACAGAGAGTGGGGGAAAAAAATGCTACAGGACTCGAGTGAACCTTGAGACACTGTAGAAAATGGATAGCAAACACCTGACTCATAAAAGCCTGTAAACTAATTAGTGTTCATCTGACTACTCAGAAAAGATTTAAAAATAAAACCCACGCTTGCACAAGTCAGGATCTGATTTTTAAAAAGAGCTAAGTTTGCTCATCTGCCTATTTAAAACAAGCAACCAGGTCCGAACCTGTGCATTTTTTTGGGGGAAAGAATTTGTATTGTAATTGAAAAGGAGGCAGAGAAAATCAATCAACCCAAACTGCACCTGGTCAGGCAGTGGAAGTGAGAGGACTGTGGTCCTACTCCAGTCTTGAGTGCAAGGTGAGCTGAATGACTAAAAAAAAGAAAGGCAATAAAAATGAAATCCTGCAGGTTTTATTGTAGGAAAACCTTGGCAGGAAGATCCCTAGGGCTGCTCATCAGCACTAGAAATGTACAATATTAAGTCCTTAATTGCTGGGCACTGAAAAAGCACAACAGTTCTGCTGCCCCAGCACTGTAATACTGTTTATATTCTGTAATTCAGGACAGACAAATTCAGGGGTGCAGCATGAAATCTGCCTCAATTGCCTTGTTTTGTGTCTCTCCCCTTACTCACTCACTGCTCCCAAGGAGCTGGAATCCAGAGGGAGTCCATCCCAGGCCTTCCTTGGGGTGCACATCTCGAGGATTCAGGATATCTAACCCTACCAAAGTGTCCTCCAAGCGTCAGGAGTCAGTGAATGCAGCTCTCATCCTTCCAGGACTTTGCACTGCCCCTGTGTCTCCACTGGTAGAGCTGCTGAGTGAGGAACTGTCCCAGCTGAAAGGAGAGCAGCACAAGGCACAAAACAGTCATTCCCTGTTGTCACTAAGAATTCACCCACCACTAGTTAAGGCTGGTGGCATCTTAGAGGTATAAGGCCAGCTCTGACCTGTATTTGCAATTTGTTCACCAGCTTTCAGTAAGGGGCTTGTGGTTATTAGATTTTTATATTTCCCAAGTGGGAGACGGTAAAGAAAGAAAATGTTGGTCTTCATTATGCCAGACTGGTGGCATGTAGGAGATGATGGGAACCACGTGAGATCCCAAATGCCACTGAAGAAGGCCTGTGAAAACCTCCCAAAGCAAGAAAGTCTCCATCCAGAGTGTGATCAGGTGTCTGAGCAGATTCCAGGTAGCTTTAAGTCAGGCCATGAGAACAGACCTAGAAGTATCAGCCCAATCCGTGCATAGAGGCTTTCACCTCTACAATGTTTAATTCCCCTCCTATCAGGAAGCTGAAACCATTGCAGATTTGATTTACAGCCGATTCAGATAAAATTCCTTACAATTCTCATCTATTCCTACCTGTCTAAAACCTTGCATCTTCTGCAAGATCTGCAATGCCATCACCTGACATGGGAGAGTGGCTCGAGCCTCATGTTCCCTCCTTGCCTTTTCTCTGCCAGCTGCTTTACCCAAGTCCTGTCCCTGTTCTGATGCCCGAGGTGCTGCTGACTGGTTTACACCAGTGGGGACGATGTTTTTGTCGATGGTTGAAGGATGCTGGACAGAGGATGATGGAACCAGCAGTGGGAGGTGCTATTTCATAACTGACATTTTATCCAGCTGAGGATCTAGAGAGCCATCACAAATGCCAGGGGCAGCACAAACCAGAGTGCTGAACTCCTCTCTCTCTACCTGTTTGATACGAGCAACTGTGGAAAAGCCTTGGAATGTGACTGCCTGGAGTTCTGCTCTCATTTCAGCAGGTGCAGGTTTGAAGTCCCTGAAAAACAAATGAACGTTTGCTTTCCTGGTCAGCTCTCACCCAGCTTTGTTCCATCTGTCACTGGAGACAGCACAAAAACCAGGGAAGGAGAAGAGCTTCAAATAGGGCTCCTTTTCTGACTAAAAAGTACTTCATGAAATAACAACACAAGGAAGTGCAAATCTCAGCTGGGCTGGTCCCATGACATCACAAACCTTCAGCATAGCAAGTAGCATTTTCTTGAGTGCACCAAAATCTTGCCTTTCAGCATTTAATGCGAGACATTACAAACTGATGAAGAGGAGAAATGTATGCAGTGTTGCTGTAAATCAAATATACAGATGAAAAATAATTAAGAATAAACTGTTCCATAAAAATGCGTGTCATTAAACCCCAGTCTGATAAAGTGATTTATGAAGAATTTTTCTAGAATTGCTAAAAAGAATGATTTCTCATTTGAGGCTCTGGAAGTCTTGAGTCACATTTTGTTTCTTTTAAAAAAATGTCTTAAAACACATGGCTTTACAGCTGCTGCTTGGAAAATATACACCTCCAAAGTCTGACTTTCATTTAAATACAAATGTACAAAATGTAAACTGAGACAATAGAGAAATTTACAAAACTTTTCTTTAAAAATAATAAAGACAAAATTCAGTTCTAGTATGATGCTATTTAAATACGTGCAAGTAGTCATGTTCATTGAATTTCTATTGCAATGTTCTAAATAGACAAATTGGATTCACACAGTCTTGAGTGCCACCTCCAAAAACAGACCTGAGTGGAAAATTCTTCTTAAAATGTGAGGCTCCACTGGAAGGAATGGATAGAAAATCTCCACTTTGGGAGATCCTGTTTGTTTTCACTCAAAGGTGGAGGCTCTCTCATCCACAGAAGCTCCAGAGATTAGAGTGGAGGGATGCAACCTGTTGTTTGGCGAAACTGAGCTGGAACTAGCTGCTCCCAGTGGAGTTTGAACTCACGTGATTCGAATTGATGTGGTGATTTAAACTGGCCTTTGAATTTGGAGAGCTCTTTGAGTTGTTCTGATGCTGCAGAAAGAGGAAGACAGCCACAGTTAGATTTCCAAAACACGCCATGCTTTTATTTTTTTAGTCCAACATTGTTTGTTTTATGGTGATAAGGCACTGACTGGACCTCAAGATTGTTTTGTTTGAAGATCTTTGGGTGCAAAATATTCTTTACTTTCTTACCCGTAGTCCCTCTAGGTCAGCAGGACCTCGAGGAATGAAGCAAAGGCGGCTCACTCGAGCTCCAAGAGTCAAATCAATTCACTGCAAAATGTCAGTACCTGCTAAATCTGACTAATACAGAGGATACCTGCCAGTGCTCAGCCATGGCTTTAACTCCACAGAAACAGAGCAGTCTAAGAATGTTCTTGAGATTTGCAAGTGGTGCCATGAGACCTGTACATCCTGCGTGATCTGGTCTGCTCTCTTCTTTCTGTCTTGGTTTCCTGCCATGACTACCTCCCTCAAAATTTGCATTATCTTTTTTTTTTTTTTTTTTTCTTTTTAAACACATAAATCAAGGATTTTCACAAGGAACTTCCTAAAACCAGAAAATCACTTGAAAAGGCGTGTCAGCATACCCACTGAGAAACAGGTTGGGTAAGAGGTTTCCAGCTGCTGGAAACAAAACTCATGAACAACACTGGAACATCTGGCAGTTTAAAAAAAAAATAAAAAAAAAAAATCACAAGAGGTAAATGGAAAACCTGGGACATGCAGTATTAGGAAGGAAATTACCAGGTAACTCCTAACAAAAATACCACCAGAAGATGGCTGTGACACTGGGCATCTGTGGGAGTTCCCCTCTCTTAGTCATAAAAGATCTCACCTGTCGCTTAAATATTCTCTGTAGCAATCCTTTCTTGGGTGGCTCTGGAGGGTAGCTTTTGTTTAGGTCTGGTGAAATAGTACCATTTGGTCCAAAGACATTCAGCTCCTTGAAGCACTCTGTTTCTATCATCTAGGAAAAAAATAAAAATAAATGAGATGTCTGCATGAAACAAATTCCAGCAGTGCTGGGCTGTTCAAAGCCAGCAATATGTGGGGAGAGTTAACAGTTGGCTCCTGCTGGTGCCTGGCAAAGAGGATGTTTGAAAAGGAGAGGCTGAGCCTGCTCTTTGCACATCAGAAACTGCCCCATGAAACTTGCTGTTCTATTCTTTAGGGTTGTGGAGAATATTGGGTAAAAGGCAGGCACGCTTACAGATCCCCAGTTCTTAGCACCCCTCTGCCCACGTGGATCTGCTGTTTGATACACAGTTGGGTTATAAAATCTGCTGGTGGTTGTGTTTTGATGCCAAACAGGAAGAAAGACTCAGATCTGGAAACCCCAGAGCAGTTCAAGGTCCAGAGTCAGCTGCTGCAGCTGGACCCACTGCAGGTATGACACAATGGGTGACATCAGTGGAGGAGCCTTCTACCAGGACTTCCAGCTATCCCAGAAAAGCTCCTGAGAGCTGCTGTGGAAACACCTCTGCAGAAATCCAGGAGAAGGAAGTGCAGTAGGGCCCTGGCCAATTTACACAAATACACAGAGCCAACAGATACAGTCACCTGAACCTGCCATCTGTGGTACATTCCAGAACTTGAAAGGGGCCATTTGTAACTCATGAAAGCATTAGAGTCTGGCACGTTCTCCAGCAGCTATCTATCACTGCAGACACACAGCTCCTCCTAAACCATCTGCATTTGGGCTTTTATTGGAGTAATTTTACTATGGCACGTCCTTACCTCGTTCTGCCATGGGATGGACACTGATCCTGTGGAAAACTTGGAATAGAAATCATCATCTGTTTGGTCCAGGTTGACTCCTTTCACCGTGGAGAACTGCTCGATGTCTAGCACATCCTTGCAGTACACTGCTCTGGGCTGTCAGCAGCAAAGACAACAGAAACAACAGGGGGAAAAAAGTATTTCTGAGTCAAATCGTGTGCTTTCATTCACAGGTTCAGTCAAGTGAGAATGTCTAACAATGAGTGTGTGTCTGCATCCTCCTCCTCTAGACTCGCTCTGCCTGCCTGTTTATCATCAAAGGCTGACTTTGCTTCCAGCACGTTGAGCTTCCTAGTTCAAAGCCCTTAAAGCATCAGTCAAAGTAGCTTTTAGTCATCCATGTACCAAGAGGTGAGAGGAAAAGAACAGAGAAAGCAGGAAAACAAAAATCAAGTCCTTCAGTAGCCTTTTCTTTTAGAGAGGAAACAACAGAAAGCCAGAATGTTTGTGAGACAGCTCTGAAAAGAGGCCTCAAGTAGAAGTGCCCTCCTGGTCAGATAGCTGTGGGGTTTGCAGTTAAAAATTTAAAGGAATGTACACTAATTGCTAAAAAAAACGGAGGAGGTTTGGCTTTTTTCCATTGTTTTTATTAATAGCTCTGCTGCTGGAAGCTGTCCAGAAGCACCTCTATTAACTCCTTTAACTTGTCTGCATTTGTTCAAAGAAATAGTCAAATGGCTTTGCCTTTTTGAACTACTCAAGTTTTCTGGGATGATCCAGAAGAGGATGGAGGGACATCATGGGCTGGATTCCAACCTCTGCCACTGGCTATATAGCTTCAGGTGATCCAGCTGACTGGGAAACCAGCGGATGAATTGCCACACAAATTAAATTAGGGGTAGCTCTTGAGTTCCCAATAAATAGCCATAAAAACGTATGTGCCTTTTCTTTAGCAAATACGTCTCTAAGAGGTGCCTTCTAGGCCTTTTGTGCCACAGCTAAGCTTTAAACACACTCTGGCAGATCCCAAATTTGAGCCCAGAATTTTCTCATTTTCTACATCAGAAAGCAATAGTAGCTTGTCTCCTGTTTCTTCCCACCAAAGCAGGTCATAACACCACGGGCTAATTGGCAGGAGTAACTAGGCCACATAGTAAAATGTAAAGCAAAACCAGAGCAGCTAAAGTAAACTTTTGTAGCATTCAAACCACTTTGGTTTGGTTGAGTTTGCAGCGCCGTGAACGAGAGCTGCCAAGATGTTACTTTCCTTAATGCATTAAAATGGCAGTGTTTACTTAGAACCATCTGGGAACTTTAAGGATGGAAGGTCTAACCAGAAAGAGAGCCCTGCAGGAGGAAAATCATCAGATAACTCTGTGCACTGGGGTAGAAACTGATACCACAAAAGGGTGGAAAAAGTTGCCAATGCAACAAAGACTCTGAGTATGTGTGAGTCCAATGTGCAAACCTGAGTCAGGACTCAGGGCTGGGTTCCATGCCCCATGAATGCTAAAAAGTTCAAAATGCTCTCTTGGGTCCAAGTCACCTTCTCTGCTTGAGGTGACACCCTATAGATCTGATGATGACCAAGTTCACTCCCCGGTTCCACAGAGCTTTGGACTTTGCAGTGCTGGTTTCTGTGTATCTGTAAATCTGCATGCATACATGTGCTGATGGTTCCAAGCACCAGCTGGTCCTGAGCACAGTGACTCTCACACTACCACCGTGGATGAGGGAACACAAAGGTTTTCAGAGCCTCCAGTGTCACCCAGGAATGTTGTGGTAAAACGAGTGGGAATTAATGGAGCCCAGGGTGCCCATCCTGTGTGGGGGCTCACCCACCCTGCATACACACATCTACAGAGCTCCCTCTCCTCTCTTCTTCCTCCCAGCATCCCCACTCCAGCCCTACCACTCATCACACCTTCCCAGGGTAGCTACCCATGCAGAGAGTGATAACAGCCCCGAGAGAGAGAAGTTATTTTAGAAACAAATCTCTAGGAAGAGGCCACTTGGGGGGGGGTTCTTCCCATCGTACTTACATCAGGGACAAAGGGAGGATCCAGCATTCCTGCTTCTAACCGCTTGAAATTCATGCTCTTGAAGAAGGGGTGCCTCTTCACTTCTGCTGCCCCTTCCCCTTGACATCCCAGCCGCTGCTTCACGTCTTTGGTGAGGAGCTGAAACGTGCCAAGAGGAACGGTGAGGATATCAGAAAGGCAAGAGCTCCACCAAGATATTTTTATCCCCAGCTGTTTTTGAATGTGCCCAGAGGGAAGCACAGAGGGGAGGTGGAATTGCTGCTACTTAAAGGCTGAAGTTAAATGGATTAGGACTTCACCGTTCTTCATGCTGGTAAAACCATTGAAAAATCACCTGCTGTAAAGTATTTACAGTCAAAATAGAGACTGTTACTTCTGCTTACTTTCAGCGAACAGTTTCAAGAAAAGATCTGACATAACTTATATAGATGCACATTCATAAGTCCCATGTGCTTTTTCTCAGTTTTTTTTCCCCTTTCTTTTTCTTTTGTATGGATGGACTAATTGATCTGTAAGGAAACAGTTCAATAATTCTGGCACAGACTAGTTGGTGGATGAGTAGACAACAAGTAGCCAAATCTTCACAAAAATGCCTCTACTTTTAAACCATATGGATAGGATCAAGTAGGCTGAGATCGTAACTAACCAGTTGAAGAGAGGCAGAGCTTACTGTGCCAATGACTCACTCAAAAAGATCATCATTTGGGACAGGGACCTGTCTGAATGTACCACTAACCTGAAAGGCTGAAATCTGCTGAAAAAAAAAAAATCTGCTGAAAAGTGAAGGTTCACAGTTTTGTTTCCCTGTCTTCCCTTCCATTCATCTTCAAGGAAGCCTGCATTATGCTCAGGTAAAGATGGGAAAATATAACTCCATAATCACCGGTATCTGCCCGGAGATTTCAGCTGCCTGCTCAAGAGATGTGAAACTCGTGCAGCCTGTGCTGGTGGAAGGTGTCCCTGCCGCGGCAGGGGGGTTGCACTAGAGGTTCTTTCCGATCCCCTCCCCGCAGAGCTCCCCGTGCTGTGCCGGTGTCGGTGCCGCGGGGAGGCAGCAGAGGAGCGGCCAGCGGGACCGGGGCATCCCCGGGGGAAGGTGCCGGTCCCTCCGCCGGCTCTGCCGCCCCAGAGCCGAGCCGAGCCGAGCCGATCCCCGCTCAGTGACTGGCACTGAACCCCCGCGATTCGAGGGTTTTTTGTTTGTTTGTTTATATTAAACCCCAGCAGTTCTACGCTCTAGCCTGCGCGAAGGAGACACCTTCGGAATTTCCAGTCAAGAATCCGGCTCGCTCTACTGTGCCTGGGGCAGAGGAGGCAAAAGTACTTTTGGTCTTCTATTCTCACGTTGACAGGGCTTTCCTGACAGGTGGAAAGAAGAATCTGAAGGCAGAAAGACCATTTTTATGGCCCCTGGCTCTGATATACTTTTGGAGATGATACTTGGAAGCTCCCAGGAACAGTGCAGCTGAGGAGCAAGCGGTAGTAGGGAGGGGTAGATTTGGAATTGCCTGTAGATGATAAAGGAGGTCTCTGCAGTTTCTGCTCCCAAGTCAGCTGTGAAGGGATGAAAGGAGGTTACATCCTGTCTCTGTAGTCTGGACTCTGGATTAAGTGGGAAGACCAAACTGATCCGTGAATTTCCCCTTGTCAGGCTGTAGGTTGTTTGGAGCGTGTGGTCAGAGGACAGGGTAGCTGAGGATAGAAAAAGGCTGCCTGGGGATTCCTGGGCTCCTCTGTGACAAACAAGGGAGTATTCAGTAATTTCAGATGCAAGAAGGAAGTCTGTGGAGCATGAATGCAGTTGGTTGTGGGTGGTTGTGTCTTACTGCAGGCTGTAAGACACAAGAGGGAACAGACACTGGGAATAGGCTGGGACTGAAAGGCCACAGAAAGGAGAGGATTCTCCTGCAAACCCCTGCCTGCCTCTTGAGGAGAGTCCCAATGGAGAAAAATGTATGAAATCCATGGAATCTGATAAGCTGTAGATGCAACCAGCTCTAGAGATGGCAACAGGTGAAACCAGACAATTTTTCTGGATTCTGTTGTGGACATCAAGAGATAGCATGGACTACAGCATTTTCCAGAAGGGAAGACTCTTCCTTTGTCCAAAGAATAATGAGTTTTTTACCATTTCCTGCAGCCCCAGAGGCTTTCTGCAATAGTAACCCCATGCAAGAGCCTAAAATACACACCCCATCTGGGAATCTGACCTGGAAGACAAAATGGAGATAACAATTGTATGTTTTGAGCCGTCTCTACACTTTTGTTTAATTCAGCTTCGAAGGGTTTATTTAATATGAATAGAGAGCAGAACAAAAGCAGCTACATCAGGCTGATGACAAGCCCTCCTGGGACAGCAGTGTAAGTGACCCCACTAAACATAATTTCAATGTAATTTTACAGCCAAAGCCTGCAGATAATTCACAGAGTTTCAAATCTGGAGGTGCCTCAGGCCACCCAACCACGTGTGACGTTGATACCAAGCAGCAGAGCTTTATGTTCTGGTAGCAAATGCTCCAGATGACACTGGACATTTAGGGTTTAGTCTACAGGGCAAAGCACGACTAGAACAGGAATTTCAGAGAGAGTCTTGAGCACCAGCAGTGAAGTTACACCAAGATCTTGATATAAAGAGCTTTCTGATACTTCCATGTCACTCATTTTATCCCCACTGGGGATTCAAACTCTCCGATGTCTGAGAATTTTTTTTGATGACTTTGTTTTGCTTCCTTTACAAAAAGAAACGGCTGTTGTGAGGATTGCTAAAAAAAGCCAACAGTCCCCAAAGCACTGCTTTATCTTCATGTGATCAATCAGTTCATATCCAGATCATACCATGTAATAAATAATTCCAAGTCCTAAGATGTTAGTCCTCAAATTATAGGAGTAAGGGGAAAACAAAAATATTGCTGCTCATGAAAAGAGACAAGGGGAGTGGTAAAACTGTTCCCATTGACCCAGCTGATCAAATTGTTTCAGGAATCACCTGGACAAATCTCAGCCCTGACACAGAGGTAAGCAGGTTCTTTTCAGCAATTTTTAGAGAATGGAAAAGCAATAGTATGGTCACCTCTCAGCTACTAAATGAGAGAAGAGAGTGGAGTGGGAACTGAAGATGCCAGGATGACATCACATATCATCCTGCTTATGAAATCACAGCCTAATCTGGCCAGCTGAAGAGTCAAAACCCTCTCAGGTGTGGGTGACAATTAAGCTCATTGCAAAGGCTCACTAGAGAAGATTTATTATTATTATTATTATTATTATTATTATTATTATTGCTGCTGTTGTTATTATCAATAGCAATGGTAAGCATTTGAAGGGCACCCTGATGTGTATGAGGTTCCTCTCAGGACAGATGGAGGAGCAGTTCTGACAAAAATGAAGGTGTCATTATGTGTGAACAAGTTGGTTTGTAGGGATGAAAGCAGAGAGGAGGGATGAAAACAGGCAGGAGTATCATGACATTTGCTGGTGGTGAGACAGGCAGAGAAAAAAATTGCTTTTAGGGGTAAAAAGAACCCATTACCTTTTAGCTGGTTGGGGAGGCACCTTGGGAAGGGAATGGAGATTGGAATTGTGGAACAGCTCAAGCTGGAAGGCACGTCTGGAGATCACCCAGTCCAATCCCTCTGCTCAAAGCAGAGTCACTCAGAGCAAGCTGTTCCAGACCTTGTCCAGCTGGGATTTGGATAACTCCAGGTGTGGAGACTGCACAGCCCCTCTGGGAAACCTGGTCCAGTGTTTGACTACACTCACTACAGAAAAGCCTTTCCCAGTGTTCAGAGGGACCCTCCTGTGCTTCAGTTTGTGCTCCTACTGGGCAGCAAACCAAGAGCTTGGCTCTGTCTCCTTTACACCCTCCAAACAGAGATCCCTTTTGTGGAGTAAAATGGGAGCTGCAGGAATAAAAGGCACGAGGGAAGACACTTTGTGGGAAAGGCAGAGAAGCAGGACACAGTGTCAGAAGAACAGAGAAATACGGGCCCATTCAATTCTCCTGACTTGAATGCACTTCAAGTCACATCTCTGGATGCATGACTGCACTTGTCAGGGAAAACATGCATGTACATCAATGAAATACAAGTCATAACAACAACAAACAGGGAGTATTTCCTAGAAAGACTGGATTTTTTTTTTTTTCACAGAAAAAACACACCATGAAGCAGTTATGTTATATGGGAACTATGGGTTGGGGAGCTTCCCAGAAAGCCAGCTGCCCCTGTTCCTAATTATTTATTATTCATCTCTGTTTCAGTCCAAAATGAGGTTTGATTTATGGGAAATTACTTACAAAATGAAACATGGAAATATGGGATGGATGATGATTAATGGGAGCTATGATATGTGCCTGCAAAAATGCAGAAGGGCACAAACGTCCTGGAGGGGAAGGTTGACGTGGGGTGACACCAGAGGGCTTTCACAGGATAAGAAGGAACAAAGACAATTCATTTCCTGGTGGAGATGCTATGAGCTCATGGAGCAAAGCTTTGAGGAGAAGGTTAGGAGACATGGGGAGAAGCACAGTGTTCCCCACTCCTGCCCTGAAGAGTCCGCTCTGGGAAAGCCTTTTGGAGTCAGCTCTTTGTGAAGGCTCAAGTCAGACTCACGTACCGAAACTTTATGTTTCATTTTGCAGATATAATTATTACTTTTTTGTTTCCTCGTTAAGATGCCGGTACAAACCAACAAAGTCCTGCTTTTCAACATAAAGAGCAAAAAAAGAACTTGGGAAAACACATTTGAATAATGGATTTTTTTTTTTTTTTAAATGTCACTTGATGAAATAAATTACTTTTGGATGGAAAACCACAAATGCCATCACAGCCGGTACCAGAACTAAGGCACTTCCTGCCTTAAGGCACTAGTGCTCAAAAAGGGAAGGGTTATCTTTGGATCCATTAATAGTTTGCAGAAACCACCTAAATAAACATGCCACGTGATTGGACAGTGAAGCAGTTAATGATCAAGTTTTCAGGATGGTTTATATATAGTCCATGCTTCCCTGAGGCAAGGGAATGAACCAGATGACCTCCTGAGGTCCCACTTCTGTGAAACCAAAGTCTCCATGGCTTGCAGATGAAAATGACCACTAGAGTGTAATGACTGTCTGCTCCCCTGGGGGTGCTGGGTCATCTACAGCACTATCCCATCAATGCTGTTTTTAATTCTTCTCCACTTTAGGTTCTTGTGGGCTTGCTTATTTTCAAAGTAGGCTTTCATTCTGTTATGCAAGAGACATAAAGAGTAACAAGAAGGGCTTCTACAGGTATGTCAGCCAGAAAAAGGGGTTTGGGCTGGATGATCTTTAAAGGTCCCTTCCAACCCAACTGTTCTGATTCTGTGCCTCATGCTGGCACATAACTATGGAATAAGCAACAAGATATCACTTTTGCCCACTACATTTCCATTCCACACTAACAGCAGGATATGTACAAACCTCTGCCACTCCAGCACACTCTGCTCCTCACCTGCTGACAGTTAAGAAGCTACCTGAGAAGAGAAGGCTGTTTGAGCACATGAGATGGTTTGTAAGAGCCTGTGACTGTCCTAAAGTTTCCCATGTCGACTTCACTGGGGGCTCTGAATCTCCAATTAAGGGCAGTGAATGGCCTAGAGTGTCTATCAAGAGTGATGTCAGTTAATCACTACCCAGGGATTCAGCAGTGGGTTGGAGCACTGTGAGTTAATGGCCTCCAGCCACGACACTTGGCAGTGTTACCATTATTATTTGCAAGGAGATTTCAGTGTCCCTGCATGAAGCCAGCCAGCCAGAATGTCCTCGATCTGCTGTTTGCTTGCCTGTTGCACAAGACACTGGTGAAACTCTCACTACCTATTTGTTGACCTTTCTTCCCCTTCATTCTCCCTCTACCAGTACACACAGATATGTCACTGTCTCCAAAGGAGGCTTCACTTGTTAGCAAACAACATCAAGAGAAAGGCCACATCCCTTTCCAAACTACAATTCCTCCTTCTAAAGATGGATGTCAACAAGACATTGATGAATTCAGACGCAGCTTTGAGATTTCTCAGAGGGTTTGAGGATTTCTATTGTCAGACGTGGCTATTGTGCTACAAAAATGACTCCCAGCTGAAAGAGCGAGAGAACATTTTGAAGAACAGCTCAACAGTATTAAGAAAAGCTGGATACTCTGGCACCCTGGGGGAAAAGCTGCTAACAAAGTCAGTGAGATGGGCTGGGACAACATTTGAGTGTCACAATAATTTCATTGCATAATCCTTGTCCTGCTTACCCCCAGCTCTCACCAAAGACAATGGAAGCCTGGGGTTTTCAGTTCCTTGCAGGAGACAACCAGAGTCTTGCATCATCAAGCCCTTTTTATTTTTTCTACAATGTTATAAAAGACAGAAACGCATTCCTGACTGCAAACTAACATTCAAAGCCTCATGAGAACAGATACTGCTCCCTTGGCCTTAAAACTCTGGAGAGGGCTCAAGATGACTGTGATGAATGTCACGGAGAAGCAAGCCCAAATAAACACAATTAGAACCAATAGAGAATGCAGTCACCCCATGGACAGATGAGCTTGGTTAGTCCCTGTTTCTGCAGCCCCTCTGTGGTACCTCATCACTGCTCAGACCGTGCCAGACACAGCTTGTTAATGAAGCTGCCCCACTGGGCCTTCCAGCCCCTTACCATTTTACAGATGGACTTGGCCTCCTCAGAAAACTTGTGGGAGTACACCTCTTCTGTCTCCAGCACCCTCCTGTCCACTTCTTCCCTCTTCACCTTCTCTTTCCTTCCGCGAAACGGCGATTGCCCAGCAATCATTTCATAAATGAGACAGCCCAGCCCCCAGTAGTCAGGGCTGAGTGTGTATCTCTGGTTGTTCAACACCTCTGGAGCTGTGGAGGAGAGTGAGACGTCTCGTGGAGATGCTTGATATTCAGATAGGCAAAACAAATGTCCAGAGCTTTCATTTTGGTGACTGAATACACATGCACAGAGAGTGGTGGGTACAATATAAACACACCTCCTGATTTCCCCTGGTTGCATTACAGAGAATGCAGCATGCTCCATGCCATGCTGTTTTCTCTCCATGCTCCATGCCTTGTGCATGCTGTCTTCTGACTGCTCTACCAACTCAGTCCAATTAAAAAAACCAAAACAAACCAAACCAGAAAGAAGTTGAAGCTAAATATTAAGCAGAGACATAAACTTAAAGAGTCCCTCCAGACTTCTCCATTTAGGGAAGAAACGAAACGCAAACACACGTCCTGTAAAGGGCCGTGACATTTCTCCAGAAGGAAATTCTGTCTTTTTGGTCAATTCCTAACTTATTTTTTTTTTCCTCCCACTTTTTAAAAACGAAACAATCCCTTTATTCTGTGTCACAACCACACAGTGCTTTGGGCACATGGTCGCTGCCCTGCAGGCACCCTCACCTCCACGCACGGGTACAAACAAACACACACACACACGTGCCCACGAGCACAGAGCCTTGGTGTGCACGCCAACTTACACTGGGATAACAACATTTACACATGACAACTGATTTGCTTGCTTTCATTTAAGTCTCCATGTGGTGCAACAGTGGCTCACGACAATCAGCTAGTTTCTATTCAGCATAAGCAACTTTTACTCCCAGAAATATGCCCACCCAGAGAATGCATGAAAACAATGACACTGAATGTGGAAAACAGGTCTAGTTGAATCAGGGAGCATGTTTTCTTTTTACTAATGCACAAATCTCTCCCCCTCCTTTTGTGCAGCTCCCCCTGCACACAGGGGAAGACTCAAGATGACTCTGCTCCAGACAACCATAGGTGTGGGCTTGCTTACCCACTTTATCACAAACTATCATTTTCTCACTTCTCATTTAAAGTAGCAACTAGGAAGAGACTTTTCTTTTAGCACATAACCCTCCTAAAATGAATCTACGCTTAAATCACTAGAATCCCAGTTGTTGTCTCCCCTTTTTATTTTCTTTGCTGATTTCAGGTTATGGACCAGACTCACTGAGAGCTGCTGTGGTCCATCCTTCTGATTTCCCCTACCATGATTTCTGTGTGGGTTGCTGCAAGGAACTGGACCCAGCCTAATGTGAATATTTTTTGTTCTTTTTCTCGAGCTTACACAGCAGAAATATCACTAGAAGTCAGGTAATTATATAAAAGATGAGCTGTAGAAGACTTACCCATATACCCTACTGTCCCTACTCTTCCACGGATTGATTCACCCTCGGGGATTTTAACAGCTAGACCCAAATCAGATATTCTAATATGGCCTGGAAAGAAAATAGAAACAGAAAAACCCAAAAAGCAGATATAATAACATGACCCAAATTAGTCCAAACCCCCCCAACTGTGGTCATTGCTACGATACTCTTGCAATTTACTGCTCAGACATTTTAGGAAAAGAGTGTTCTGAATCGCTCAATTGGAGTAAGGAAAAGAGGATCAACTGATAAGGAAAAGAGGAATTATTAAGGGCACTATAATGCAGTGAAATTATTAACAGTGAGGTTACAGACAGGAGTGGATCTCGTTAGATATTTTAAAACCAACGTAAAAAGGCAACAAGAAGCATTTGGGGAAGTATCTTGAACTGATCACAGAGAATGGACAGGCTGACATAATTCTGTAACTGTCTGATGGCTGAAGGGGTTACATCTGGTCTGTAGGTCAGCATGAGATTCAATTATCGCTGCCTTCAGCAACAAAGGGGTACCTGGGTCTGCACCAAGCGGGAAGCAGAGAGTCAGAAATCAGAACTTCCTCGGTATTGCATCAGCCTTGCAACGAGAAGGATGGAAAGGGAACGCAGGATGGGAAGGAAGGCAGACAGCCCCAGCAGAGCCCTGCTCGAGAGCACAGCCCCTGCTGGGCAGCACGGCTGCTCCACTCCATCTGTGCAGGAGCTCCAGCAGCTCACCCTCCCCAGCACAGCAATATTAGTGTATGCTGAGCCTCTTAATCACCTCAGGGCATTATTTGTCTTTGTGCAATATATATATATATTCTAAAACTAACTTAATCTACTTTACTGTGAAAGCATCTCTGTAAACCTCTGGGACTTACCATAATCATCCAGCAGGATATTTTCTGGCTTCAGATCTCTGAAAATGAAAGATAGCAGACGTTGGTGTGAAGCTGGTTTTGATAACATAACCATACAACTGTGCGAGTGCATTTATTACTAGTGATAAACCAACTGAGTGTCAACTCAAACAGCAAGGAACCCCTGAAACCAATACAACCTTTTACAACTCACTTCTCGGAGAGACTGAAACCATATGTCTTTTTCTAAACTGGAGTTGGGATTTTTCACTAAGCCAAGCTTTTAGTTCCTAATCCGCTCTGTAATGGACTCATCCATCCAGCGCTGTAAGCCCTGTAAACCAAACCCTGTAGTCCTGTGTGTCGTAAAATCTCTGCAATGTTTTCTGTTATAAAAGCTTTTGTTATAAAGAAAAATATTTTAAATTTTAAAATGCTTTATTTGCACATGAAAATTGGAAATAGCAATCTGCTGGGCTCAAATTTTCCATGCCTGGCATCTGACTCAGACCAAATATGTGAATGTGTGTCCATGCACTTGCACACACGTGTAATAATTTCACCACGTTTGGAAAAAGAGGGGCAGGGGGGGAATGCTTTGCCCAGATTAAGACTCTTCTTACAAACATTTGTGAAACTCTAGTGCCAATGGGGTTTGGGATAATGCCACGAAAATTGGCAAGGTGGTCACTCTGATGTCAAAGACGTGCCTTTCACTGCTCCTGTGACAAAAAATAAAAAAAAAAATAAAAAAGCCCAAATCTGGCCAAGTTATAAACTTCTGAAATAAATAATTTCAGTTTTCATATATTTAGCAGAGCCTTGGCAGATCATTCTTCTGAAAGGTTTGTCTGCAGAAAACCCACTCCTCCAGCTGCTCCTTTCAGATGCTGCCCAGCCCAGCCACGCTCAAGTGCCCTCGTTGTTTCCCAAACCTGCCCAGCTGGGCACAGCTTTGCCAGGCAGGCTCCTTCCCTTCCTGCTCGTGCCTGGGAGAGGGGCCCAGAGGTGTGAGAGGGGAGGGAGATGGGCAGGGAGCAGGAGGGCTGTGGCACAGCAGTGGGCTGTGCTGGCTCAGGAGTGAGTCAGGGAGAACCACCCCGCTGCCATTCACCACGCCGTGCCCTGGCTTCCATCTGAACACTCTGCTTGGCCTGGTGCAAATCCAAGCAGTGCTTGGCCTCTTCCCTTTGTAAGGCCTCCCTGCATCTGTGAACCATCCTGTTAGCTGCCCAGCAAGGGGGGATGCTTTGCAAAGAGCCAGGAGAGGGGATGCACGAACCCTTGCACCAGGGAAACAGGACACTGCCCGGAGCCTGGGCAGGAGCGTGCCCTGCACCTCCAGCTCCGCTGTCATGATCTGTCCTGGGAATGGAGAGTGGTATTTTATAGTTCTGACAATGCCAAGATTAAAATTTCAAAACTTGCCTTGTTTTTATTGGTTATTTCAAGCAAGAACACACAGCACTGTGAATAATCTCCTCTTCTTGCTTGCTTCAGACCCTCTCGACCTCTGAAGATAAACCTCACTGGGTGCCCAGTTGGTACCAAGCCTACTTTTCAAATAAACAATACTGAAATATGTGAAAGGCAGCTGCTTGCTGAGGAGAAGCTGTGATTTTATTTAACACACCACTGTGAGCTTTCCCTGTCTATCAACAGAAGGTTTCCAGTGCTGGAGCAACACAGCCAAGGGCATCTCCTATTTATTTTTAAAAACGTATTTCAAACCCTGTAAGAACTATTTTGTTGAAGAACTCAGCCTTCCCCAGTTACTTAACCTTCTGCTCCAGCAGTTACTGGTCCCACTTAAAGCTGTAACTGGGCCCCAATTACAAGAATCCTGCGTGCAAGCTGGGCAGTGCTGGCTTTGAACGAGAAAATGAGACACTCTATGAGAACCCTGAGAACAGCAGTTGGGTCCCTACAGTCCTCTGTGATTCAGGGCAATTAGAGCAAGCTTTTCTCCCCTCCCCACACACCAGTTGTCACTGCTGTTTTCAGATTTCTGGTTCCCCAGGATCGAGGCTGGCCCCTTTGGCATGGCCATCACTTCCAGCTGTTCAAGAATGAAATGTCTAGGAGAAATAAAAGTCCCTGGTGGACACAGTGACATGCAAGGCTATTTTCCAATGGTATAACTTGCCACATGTGAAGCAGCCTTGCCCAAACATACTGAAACATAAACTGCTGGTGCTGTGCCCAAGCTCCAAAGGCAGTGGCGCATCGTTTGGCTGGATGGGAAAGCCTAAAGAACTCAGTTAATCACAGTGGACAAGGCTTTACCATAAATTTGTGCAAAATGCCTAGGACAATGTGATCTTGATGTTGGCTGGAGCTTCCAGGCATGGTTGTAGTACACGTGAAAATTATTGACACATATATATATATATATATACACACATCTAAAAAAAAACTAAAAAAATTTCACATGTATACATATTTATATATAGAAAAATAATTCAAGGAGAACCAGCAGCTTTCTTACGTTTGCTTCCCACAAACCATCAACCCACTGACCTTTACTAACCATGAGAAATGTAGCACAAGTGCCACGTGTGACAAGGGAATTCTAGACCAGATGAATCTGACTCTGTGCCTGGTTGTTCTCTCAGGTCACATCTGCACCACCACAGCCCAGGAGATGGAGGGGGGGGGGTGTTTTCCAATGCTGTGATTTACTCACAAGCATCTTGTTTACAGAAAATGAAATTAAGCCCGAGCAATAGGTGTTTTGTGATGAATTATTTGCCCTGAGAAAGCGGCAGGGTTTAGCTGCTGTATTTTACTGACCTATATAGCACTTCTCATGGGCCCCAAAACACGCTGTGCTACTACAAATTAGGGGTCTCTGCAGAGGCTCCTAAAATACTGCTAGAAAATGTCACCTACAAGGATGTAATATCATTCATCACCAAACTGAGTGTGTCATCTGAGGTGTAAACCAGCAGCACTTCTAAGAGTAACATGAAAAGAACTGCTTAAAGAAGTAGGATGCCATTCCTCTCAGAGCCACGTACTACTGTAGGTGACCAATCTGATTTGTTCTATTAGGAAATGGCATTAGTATGGCAATAGATCAGCCACATTTTTCTTCAATAAAATGTGCTTGTAATCTAGCACTTTTAAAAGAAACGCTCTATCACCTCCTAAATTTTTTTTAAAAACTGGTAGGATGTTTTTCAAAGAAAAGGGAAGTCAGACACTTCACTTACAATTTGATTTTTCGACTGACATAACACCCTTAGTTCCATTTTGCTCCTTGGGAAAAAAAAAAAAAAATCTCTTTCTTGGGCCAGCACCAACTAAATCAGCATGTTATCTGTCTGCCCTCCATATGCCAGCCAGCAAGAGCTGAGGCACAGTGAGGCAAGCAAGTGGCAGTTTGCTAGAGATCTCCTCCAAGGAACAACAACATTGTGATTTCTACCCCTACAAGCATGTGCATCATGCATATTGCACACGGGCATATCAAGTGATTTAAAGCGCTGCTTGGTTTTTAAAAATAACATATTACTGCCTATTAATCACTGTCCTTGGAAGTCCTTTCATCAATTCACAGGGCCCTCTTCTGCTGTGTGGATGCCAGCCATAACCATTTCACAAGCCGGGATGATGAAGACAAACACTAACTGTTGTTTACAACTACGCCGGTTGCTGATTAAAAAAAATAAATCCTCGTGGAGTCGCAGGAACTCTGCCTGCAATCAGCCCGCTTATCCAGCGAGTGGGCCCTGGAAAGGTGCTTGCCTGGAGCTGGAAGCCAAAGTGGAAGCTGAGAAGCTGCAGCGTGTCCTCCCTCCCCGGGGCTGAGCCGTGCCCGCTGGATGCCCCCACGGCGCGGGGGATGCTGCCAGCAGGAGCCTCCTGCCACGGCTGCCACTGCAGCCACCACCACCCAACCCAGCTAATCACACCAGCTCCCGTCCCAGGGCGTAAATCCCTACCCTGTGTCTCAGGCACCCTCTGGGGAAAAATCCAAGAGGGAGGGTTTTTCCGCATCTGACGCGCTCCGGCCCCTCGTGCAACATAATCTAAGTAATTAGGGAGAGGCTTGGGTGGAATGATCTCCATTTCAGGCCAACTAGGAACTGGATTCCTTAATGAAATTTCTTTAAAGGAACTTCCATCATTTTCTTATGTCACCCAGTGCACGCTGTGAGGTAGGGTTTGGGGAGCTTTGTGTGTAATTTAGACAGGATGTGCTTAGTGGAGGAACTGCTTCCTTCCACGATTACTGAATCATACTGTATTTACACAGGGCTCTGCGAAATTTCAACCAAAGCACTCAGGCACCCAGTGAGCAGGGAGGACGCAGGCAATACCTTCCTACCCAGAAAAGACTTCCTAAGGCTCCAGAGAGCGCTTACCTGTACACGGTATTTTCTCTGTGCAGGTCTTCCAAGCCACAAAGGATCTCTGCTGCGTAAAACAAAGCTCTCTCCTCCTCAAAGCCCGGGTTGCCCATGTTGTAGATATGAAACTTCAGGTCCCCTCCGTTCATTATGGTCAGAACCAAGCACAGGGCGTCCTTTGTTTCGTAGGCATAGGCTAAATTGACCTAGAAAAACAGTTGTGGCACAGTTGTGACAGTTCAGTCAGCTGCTGAGCAGGAGGGGTTGGCTTTTCATTCAAGAATTTTTTTCTAGAGAAGTTAAAAAATACACAGACTGAATTTGGTACTGGCCTTATTACAACGGCAAACACACAGTTTAAAAGCACAGAAAAACCAGGTGTTGGGATTTTGCAGATGAATTTGTTCAATCCAGCCTATTTATCACCAGAAACTCTCAAGGTTCAGATAGCTTCACGGGCTGGACAAACATACCAATTCCAGGCATATTTTTTCGATGTAAGAGAAATCTTCGTAATCAAGGGAAACTACACCTCCTGCTGCCCTGTTTTCCGTCTCAGTAGGTTCCCTGGAAGGCCCAAATAGACCAGTCCTGGAGGATCCAATGGACCATCACTGAGACCTGAAGGTCAGTGCTATTCCTTCGAGGCTCTTGTGAGTGCCCCAGGAAAAAGCAGAGAAGCCAAAAACAACCACTTTTAAACACGTGCCATCATCTTGGCTTCTGCCAGAGATGAGTAAACACCTTGCCTCTGTTGTATACACAGTGTTTCCTGAAATAAGTATAAAGAACAGATGCTGAGATTACACCTTTTTTTTTTTTTTTTATTTTTTTTTTTAACTAGGGGAAGTTTTAAAAGAGTCACAAGAGCTGGTGTGACTCAGGAAAGCCCTACATCAGGCAGACCAGCTCCACTTCACTGCTGAGACGCTTCTACAAGCCAATCTCTTCTGATCTATTCAGGTTGAACCTGCTTTAGTCTCTTCCAAGCTGCTCTCTCCCAGACCCTGGGAATTCAGGTAATCACGCTGGATAAAAATAGCTCAGGCTGATGCAGCTGTGATGCAAGTGGAGGCTGCAGAACGCATCACGTTCCCATGGCAGGCACAGGCCCCTTGGCGGGTGCATTTCTCACGCACCAGAGACCGAAAGGAGACTCGGGAAAGGTGCAGGGAGCAGGACTGGGGGGCAAAGCAAAGGGCACCTGTCGAGCAGCGGGAGATGGAGGAGGCATTTAACACCAGCAGTGCCCAGCAGGTGAGCAGGGAGCGGAGTTCGATACTCACTACAAACTGACTATTGACTTTTTCTAAGATCTGCTTCTCGTTCAGCGCCATGGATTCGCCTTTCCTCTTCTTTATCCTCTTCTTCTCTAACCTCTTGCAGGCGTACATCTTCCCCGTGGCCCGCACTTGGCACGCGCAGACCTGCCAATTAGGGAGAACAATTGCCGGGTAATTCGAAGCAAGCGCTGTGTCTGGGCTGCGCTTCGCTCCTCGCAACCTCTCCTCTGATTTAGTCCTTTTAAGGCGAGAGACCGAGGCTCGGCGAATGAGGCTTGGGCGGGGGGAAGCTGGGGAACCGACTACTGTTTCCAAACCTGCTGTGTAATACCGGCTTAATTATTCCACTTTCCTCCGCCCGCTTCCCATCCCACCTCCCTTTTGTCTGCGCGGATTGTGATCAGCCCGCCTGCACCTCCCCTGCCTCTCCAGCGACCTCCAGTAACACACAAATAAGGGTGTGACCCTAATTCCGCTGTGAACGCAGCATCCAAACACAAAATAACCCTCAGAACCGTTCTTTTGACATTGCGGTGCCATGAGGGGTTAAGTACAATTGCCAGCGATTAATGAGAATCAGCCTCGCATCAGGCTCCTGTACCTGCAGCGCTAAAAAAAGTAAGAAACACTCTTTAACAGAAAGTTTCAGAATTACTCACCTCCCCAAAGCCGCCCTTCCCCAGTACCCTGTACTGCCGAAACGTGTTTTTCGTTACTGGTTGCCTGGAAGAAAAGGAAATAAATAAATAAATAAATAAATAAATAAATGGCACGCTACATTTAATGCACTCTCTGTGATTTATTTATTTCAGAGCATACTTCTGAAAAGCAAAATAGATAAATATTACATAATCACATTATTTCAGGGTAATCATATTATATAATATAATATATAATTATGTAATTGCATTACTTCAATACTATGTATGGCTTGAACTTTTCAATTCCAACATATTAAGCTGTAATAAAATACAACACATTAGTGAGTCATCAGGATAATTTCTGCTAGCATCTTAAGACCAAGGAGGGTTCTGAATCTCCATTAGGTAGCTTTGGCTTTTGTTAAGCAAAGAGGAGGCCTGAAAGCTTCCAATAAGATATTAATTCCCATGATATATAGGATGGTGTAACACATCACTTTGCTTGGGGGGCAAGACGAGAAAAAGAGATCCAGAATTCAATTCACTACAAGATATTTCTGGTGTCTTGAACAAAACATGAAACTGATGTGAATCAAGGGAAGAAACAATCCTGGGAACAGGAGAGGTGGATTTATGACCTGTTCGCTGGCCTACCCGCCTCCTGGGGGAGTGCCATGGGCAAGGAGGGAGCAAAAACCAAGGTAAGGGTTAAATAATTCTGTCTCTGAGGGCAGAGTGCCCCCCAGCAAACACCAGACATGATCTCTCTGCAATCTCACAGGCTTCCCACAAAACCTGCTCCACCAGAATGGCTCCAGATCCATCCACATCTAACTTCTACTTTGCTGCTGCAGAAGTTTTCTAACGTGACAGAGAAGAATTCTAAATGCATAAAGATCCAATTTGTATCCACCACTCCATCTCCAAAGTTTTACAACTGTCTTAGCAGTGGAAATGGATGTTCCTCCCGTCATTGTTCCCCTCTGGCGGGTGGCCAGCCTGCAGAGGGAGCACAGTAACGTGGCTGTTCCCACCACAGGGATGATGAGGTTGATGACAATGAGGAATAAATGTTAAAGTGAATCATTTCATTAATGTCCATTATTGTTTTTCGAAGTGGAAGAAGAAAAACACGGAGAAGGTCAAAGCTAGAAGAGGAAAAGATGCTATTTTCAGGCTTCTGCCAGGCTGCTGCAAATGCTGTTGGGGTTAAAAGCAACAATTAGCAGTGATAACTACGTGTTCAGCAATGTCCCTGGAGTAAATGGACTGTGTGACTGCTCCCTTGGAGCCAGCAGGCTGTCAGAAGGAGCTGGTGATCACCCCGTGCTGCTAACATCTCATTGCTAACCCTAAAAGCAGCTCTCCCAGCTTCTTCAGCCAGGCATATCCAATGGCTTGTCATATTTGTTGGGGGAATGGGAAAAAAAAATTAAAAAAATCCTCAAAGCATGTCAGAAAATTCCTTATCCCTGACGCAAAAACAGAGAGGAAATAGCCTGGCCAGAGATGAATCATCTGATGGGTTGTTTTAATTGAAATGGCAGGGTAAAGGCTGGACTGTGTGAGGATGGCACGTGGGGCATTTCTTGGCACAGAATGGTTCTCCCCTCTGCCCACCCCTCCTGTGCTGCAGCTTTGCAGCTTTCCAGGGAGAGGAGCTGATCTCCCAGGCCTCACGCTGACACACACCGCTCGTGGCTCTGGCCCTAACTCATCTGCCCTAATTAATTCCACTTGTGGAAACGGGGTCCTTTCTCAACTCAAGGTCACTGTTGCCCAGGGGTGAACGTCTGCTACAGCCCTCCCTGACAAGGAAAAGGCAGCAGCCCCTTTCTTGCAAATTGTTACCCACTAAGGCTGCCTGCTTATTAAACGTGCTCAGAAATGTCTAGCAAACATATATGGTGTATTTTTCTCACCAGTGACAACTGGTGCAGAGAAGAAGTCACCACATTCAGAGAGCAGCTCAACAGAGAGACAACTGAAGTTGCTGAATAATCATGCCTAACACCATTAAACGGCCAAACACTCGAGCTTTACAAGCAAACATATCAGATTTTGAGCATATTCTACGTATTTTGCAGGGAAAGTAAAAATAAACATGTTATTTATTTATTTTCATTTAAAAAAAAAGTAATCTTGTGACACTTACCTTTCCAACCACTTCCACTGAAGAAACCTGTCGAAGTACATGCTGCTCAGGTATTCTTGGAATGGTTCCCCACTGAGGTGGTCAAGGACAGATCTATCTCAGATGAAAAGGATATATAAGCATTTTATAATCCTGAACTTGGAGCAAAAGAGAAACAAAACAATAGGAGAAAATCCAGACTTCTTGTCTGCTAGGATTATTTTACTTTCCCTTTATTTTTTACTTTATTTCACTCCCAGTTTCAATCTGGGAACAAAGTGATATGCTTGATATATTTCATAACAGGAGGCCTTATACATGCTGAGTAGTAATATTCACTGGTTATGCTTGCTGAAAATTAACAGGGCGACTCCCATTGGTTTCAATGGACCTTTCCAGAGTCAACAAATGCCTTTACATCTGTTACTAAATTACCACTACTGCCTCAGGAACTGAGCTCCTAAACCTTGGGGGATGTTTACATCTGGATAGAGGATTTCTGACTGAAGCCCATTTCTGTCAGAGGCATCAGTCTGAGGGAAAATATCAATTTCAATTCCTGCTATGCAGAAGAAGTAGTCCGTGTGACTAAAGTCAGAGGGGTTTTCCTAACAGCTATGTGCTTTGTAGAGGGAAACGGAGGAAAGAGAGGTCTCAGCAGGGATGTGGATTTGTTTCTGGATCAAGGAGAGCATTTTGGGGCTCATGCAGTGGGTGCAAAATCCATCAGGCATCCCACAAGAGAGGCCAAGGGTTCAGAACTAAGAAAGGAGGGGCTGAGCTGAGCCAGTTTCCTGAAATGAAGGGGGTTGCATTGTTTGACAGGGAGTTCTTCACCTGCTGCTGGTGGCCCTTGCCTTGCTCATCCATCTCTGCCGGCATCACTGGCAGGACAAAAGTTGGTTTGGGGTGAAAAATGCCCAGGAAAAAAGGAGCATTTCTGTCTTGGTCTGTACAGACACTTTTGTGTCCATGTCTAAGGGCATACAGACACATTCCCAGATATTGCTGGAAGGAGGAAATCCTCTCTGAAGGACTACTCTACTTTGGGAATGATAGTTTATGTCTTACCCTGAGGCAGTTCTAGACCTGAGCACATAAGTCACCATGAATAATGTGTCTCCCCAGTTTAGTTTCTCCCTGTTCCTGAGCTACTATTTTTGGAATTTCTCAGCTCCTTTTTTTTTTTTTTTTTTTTTTTTTTTTTTTTTTTTTTTTTTTAATTCTTGCACCACCAGTTTGGAGCAGGCAGGTCATTGCACATACTCAGAAAGTTAAATTTTTGTCCTCATTAGCTTTGACTGGACACAGATCATACAGTTCCCCTAATGGATTCAAGCTTACAAAATAAAATAAAAAGTAAGTCTCAAATGTGCAGTTTTAAGTGGAGGCAGGAGCAGACAGTCAAAATATTAAAGGTCAAAGCAGGAGTTAGAGCTACACACGCATTTTTCCTGCAGACTGATTTTTATTTATGAAGATGTGGATGACACGCATCCCTGTCCCTGCTCGTACAGGACAGCAGGCTTCATATTTGTATGTATTCCTCCCTTTTTTGCTCTGACTGTGAACTCTTTCAAAATTAACATTATTCAGTCCCAGTAAATACCAACAGCAAGTTTTTAAAACTTCCTTTCGACCTCATTTTTAGTGCCGTGCGAAAACGACCAGCCTATTTATTAACAAGGCCTCAAGCCTGGCTCGTTTATCTGTTTGGGAGATGAAGGAATGGCTGTGGGTGAATACGGGCCGGCACTAAGCGGTGCCCAACGCTCGCCCGTTCCATTCAGTCAATTAAAAGCTGCACGTATTTCAGAAGGACAATAGCTGCCTTTCAGCACATGTTTGCTTTTGAGCCCCGCTCTTTGGCAACGACCGAGCGCGTTTCAGAGGGAGCTGTCAGCTCCCAAGCCGATTCGAGGGCTGGAAAGAGGCATCAGGGGGGTTTGCGAGGAGCACAGCCCTGCCTTTGTCGCCGGGGCTGGCACACGCGGCCGGTGCGAGCTGCGGAGCATCCCCACGCGGGGCAGGGACACCGGCTGGGCTGCAGGGCAGGGCCAGAAATAACCCGCGGCTCCTACCAACGCAAAGAATAACTGAAACCAGAAAAGGTCAATGGAATGAGTCAAAACAATGAATGACAGCGGAGCGAATGTTACAAATCCCCATTACATCACCCGGGGAAAACAAACCGCGCTCGGCCAGAAACCGCACGGGCCAGGGCGGGATGAGCCCTGCTTTTCATATTTCTGCTGGGTTTATGATCTACCGGCCCGAGCGGGCGCGAATGCAGATTGCATACCTGGAGCTTTAGCGCATAATGGCCCAAATCGCCTCCCCGCTGCAGGAACTGATAAGCCTTTTCCCCAGACAAAGGGGTGAAATAATGCACGCTGGTTGGTTTGAGCGCCAAGGGCAGACAGAAAGCATTAGAAAAAGCTGAAGATTTTCTGGAAAAGCCGTGTGGAGCGAGTTTGCACATTCCTCTGTCTAAACGGACCGTATAGCCACTTAATTTTTATTCACTTTGAAACAGAGATGTTTTCTTTGGATGCATTATCATTGTAGCTCTTTTCACACAGCATGAAGCCCATGGCTGGTTTGCTTGGCTAGAACACTCTGTCAAATACCTGAAACAGTAAGTGCCTGTGTGTAGTGTGTATAATGGCATGGAAATATTCATTATATCTTGTTCAGATGAAATGACTTCACTAGCTTGTCAGCTATGCCTCCAGGGTTAGGAGCAGAAGCCAAAGGTACCTGCCTCAGGTTGGAACTGCAGTGTCTCCCCCCACCTGACACATTCCTCCCTGCCATCTCTGGGGATCGAGTTATACTTACTTTGTACACTGAGAGAACAGCTCTTTGCAGGGGCTGTTTTCGAGTTTCTCCTCTGTCTGCCGGATAAGATCTTGACTGACTTCGGGAACATAGGCTGGAGACTGGGGAGAGAAGAGAGGGGCACGTTAACTCCGTGATGAGGTGCAGATTCTCCTCTCCCAGCGTGTAAAAGGCACATTCATTATTTATGCCCTGAGCTGCTTCCATTCAATTCCAGCGGTTGTGTAAAAGCAAAGGAGCTTTACGTCAAACAGCAGTAAAATAGGATACCGTGGCAACTCGCTCCACATTCCACTCTATCCTCACATTGCTTTTCTGCCTTCTCCTGTACCTTCACCTCCTTGCCCAGCCTCATGAATATGCAGGACACACTCCTTGCCAATTCTTTGAACTGCTCCCTTGCATCCCATGAAAAATGTGCTGGCCTGAACTGTGTACAGGCCATTCTATTAAACAAAAGAGAATTTGCCCAGTGTTTTCACTTCATTGTGCTGCCTGAAAAATCCATCCTTTTTTTTTTAACCAGCAAAGCAAAGCAAGAGCAGAGCACTGGTATTTATTGATATATATATATAGATATAAAGATGTTCACAAAATTGTCTGGATGAGCACCTTAGTGCATCCTTAAAGGGAAAAGAAATTAATTCAGCAGCTTTAAAATAACAATTTCAGAGAGGAACTTTGCCAACCAAGCACATAAACCCTTTTCATCCTCTCCTCCCTCTGGAGAGAACGTACATTCAGCCCCTTCAAAAAGCCCTTACCAAAGAGAGGTCTCTTGCAGAATGCCTTGATGGTTAACCAGTTACAGACGTTTGGGACTAATCATCTAAAAAGACAGTTTTTAGGCAGTCCACATTCTTACTCATTGACTGCCTACTGTAATTGTATTAAAAAGTGTATATTTGTGTGTGTGTGTGCGCTCACCTATTTATAGACATTTCTCCCATTTACATGAAAGTCCCTTTATATAAACAATTTAATTCGGGTATTTACAATAAATCCAGCCACAGATGACAAAATCCCCTTTCCTTGCAGAAGCCTCAGCACTCTGTAAGGTCCCCCATCCCCGGCCATGACCACCAGATGTGCTGAGTGGGTGGGTCACAGAGCATCATCACTCATTCCTGGCCAGATGTTCTCATTAAGTCACCCTTAGCTGGAGATGTCTTGGCAAGCACTGAAATGCAGTGCAGGCAGAGTTCAAAAACACTGGGAATAAGGACAGAGGAAGGGGCAGAGGTGGAGCCACAGAAAATCCCCAGCATGGGGAAAGCTGAATTAAGTCTTTTATCTTTTCCTTCCCGCTGCTGAAATGTGAATTTGATCCTGGCTGTGACATGAAAAAGTGAGTTTGTTCCACTTGAATGTTTTCAAATAGGAATGTGGTTTAGAGAACTGTCTGTGCATGCTGTGTGATGCAGTCTCACTGTTCAGCATCGACAGGCAATCTGCTCAACGTGCTGGGGGTACCTTTGACCTCACTGAAATGTTTCCTCATTTCCTCAATATATTCCTCCATTTCCTCAGCAAAAGATACCCAGGGAGCACCTACTTCTAATCACAGAGTAGATTACTAATAATTAAGAAGTCTCATAGTTTCTTGAGAGGCAGATAAGCCCCCCAAGTTACCATCTAAAAGTGGAAGAGACTGAGACACAGCCAGAAATTCTCAGCTGGGTTGACCACTGAGGTTGACAGGAAATCAGAACTGCAGAACAAGTCTCAGTAAATCAGAAAACTTACAGAAATCCTTAGCTATAGATGCCTATGATGAAATCTAAGTCCCAGCTTTAGTTCAAGAGAGCAAGTTGAGGCAACAGTGAAGCCTTGAAAAAACAAGGAAAAAAAAATCCAAAATCCTGTTTTCTAGTCCTAAAGCATTGAATCTACTGGGGAGGAAAAAGGAGGGAAACAGATTTAAATAAAAAGCCTCTAAAAGCAATATTCAGACATGAACCAAAGCCTAATGATTAGCAGCATTTCAGTTGATTTTGGCCAGAGATAGATGAATTAATACCTTCAATGCATAGTTTGTGTACTCAGTGGGTAACATTTGCACACACAAGTTCATGGGAAGCCCCAAGCTTGTTGGTATGTGGCTGAGTGAATCCACTGGTCCAAGACCCAGTTCAAGATGAACATCCCTCTGATTTACAGGGTACAGAAACACCTCTGAGCTCCACAGTGTTTGCACTGCTGTGAATCAGGAATGTTGTCTGCTGTGAACGGAGCAGCACTTCAGTGAAACTGATACTAGAACCTGTAACTACCAGCTGAACCTAGAACTTGTTCTACATTTATAGGTCAAAGCTGGAATCCAAAAGCTAAGTACTACCCTGCATAATTAGTCATTTAGACCAAGTGACCTGGTTCTTACTCATGCCAGGCAACTTCAAGTCCCATTGGGAATTCATTTCCCAGTGGAAGGTAAGCTGCCTTGAGGTTAATGTTGAAGGTCATGCCCATTATGCATTTCTAGAGTACTAAATCCATCAAATTTCGTCTGAGATCAAAGCACATGTAAAAAAAAAATTATTATAAGCATCAGCTAACTCTTATTCATAACGGAGAAATTAAATTCTTAGAGGGAAAAAGGGGGAAGAATGAGCAAAAGAAACGGTAAGACAATGTGGGAAGTGTTTAAAAATGATACAAACTGTGATTCCTCTCTCCAAGTTTGTGGGAGATTCATTCACCGAAAGAAAATTTTTTTTTTTTTTTTTTTTCCAGAGGCTGGTAATTTCCAAAGGCTCTGCAGGCCCAGCAGAACATTTTTTGTCATTCTGCAGCCCTTCATTGTGTTCACACGAGAGGAGCATCCCCAACCCTTCCTAACCCTGCGGACAGTTCTAGCGAGCCTTTGTATGATCCTTCCTGAGATTTTCCTTGAGGCTTCACAGTTCCCCCAGCTCCCATCAAACAGCCCTGGCTGCTGCTTTCCCTGTGTGAGTGCTGTGCATACCTGCAGCCTTCAAATGTTCAAACAGAGCCAGAAACAATTACAAGCCCAATCCCAACCCACCAACCTCCTTTTGCTCCCCTGGAGAACAATTAGGCAGCACAGGTTATGAGTGCAAGGAAGCAGTTGGATTCCGAGAGTGAAAGCTTCCAAAGGTAACACTTTGGCCATTTACAGATGAAAAAGTTGCTTCTTCCCTGGAGAGGTGCAGGAGATTTCTGCAGCCCCAGTGAAACAGTTATTAACACCCTTCTCCTGCTGCATTGTGGGCAATGGCTGTAAAAGCAAATGCAGCTTTTACAGGGGAACAGAGACACCTTTTCCAACTTATTAAATGTCCTGTGGCAGCTGGGAGAGCAGTACACCGTGATTAAGGCCATTACATCTGAGCTTGTGACAAAGAATATTCTGCTAACTCTTCAGAAACACCTGCAGGAACCAGTTACATTTTCTTGCATTCAGAACAAAACGCTGGGGAGTTTTAACAAGCACGGTTCCACATTTCCCCTAATGGCTATTCTGTTTCCTGAAGGCAAAGAAAGTGATTCTTGAACTCGTTTACAGTAATGTAAATCAGAAATGATGCCAGTCAACTCCACAAAGTAACACCAGGGTAAAGCTGATGGAACCTAAACCAGATTCATGACCAGACTCTGGCAGCACAAAGAGTGCTTAAATTGATCCTACAGCAAAAATTTCTCTCATCACATTATCTTCTTTGACCAGACAATTTAATAAGAGTCCAGGAGCCCACACTACTTTCACCAGGTTTTAACCAAAATCTCCTGCCTCCTGTATCTTCTCCGTTACGACCAGAACCTGAAAACCTTGGTATAAATATTTCGCTGGCAAAGCAACATCTCAGTTTTATGATGCCTCTTGTTTAATTTTTAAGGAAAGAATGTAACTAGGAATTGCATTAGTGGTTGTCTGAGAAAAAAGAAAAGGATGCTCAGTTACTTCTGAGTGCCATCAGCACAACCCTGACAAGTCTCCACTTTTAAATTTACTTTGTTTTCCTTATTTAAAAGACTAAAGAGTTCCTCTCAGGAAATGGCATGAAAACAGCTGAGATGTCACACACTTGTTCAAGGCTGGCTGTGTTCATATCCACAAAAACTTAGAGACACCCGACCTTTCGTTGATCTATCAGCAAATCAAATTCTTTCTCAAACGAGGTGAAGTTTCAGCAGTACCTGTGTGCAACGCTGCTGGAAAAGTGCCCAATGACAAAGGGAACTGAGAGGGATGTGTTGAGGTTCCAGCTGAAGACACTTCCCCAGCTGGGGTCACCACCATTTGAGAACACTACAGAGAGCTGGCAAGAGCACCAGGGGCCTGGAGAGCTGAGAAACATGTTCAGGGAAAAAAAAAAAAAAACAAAACCCAAAGGAAAGCATTGAGGAATTAAATGTGTTTAGTCTGGAAAAGTAAGGGTGAAACATGACAAAGGGCTTTTAATATAAAAATGGTTTTAATAAAGAGGGCAGGGATCAATTATTCTGCATATTCTGCTCTACACTGGGGGAATGATGTGAAGAAATCCACTTAATTGGATATGAAGGCTTTTAAAAAAAGATTTTCACCCAGGGAAGCAGAAGGACAGGCATATGAATACTGTGGAATCTGTTCTCAGAGGTCTGAAAGACCTCCAAGGGCACTCAGACATCTGTTGATCATCTAAGTGTATTTGATCTCTGTTCAGTGCAAGAGGCTCTTGAGAACTCTCCCAATCCTCTGTATAAATGATTTTGCAAAACACTGGGCTCCATAAAACACAGGCACATGGCATGGCCCTGAGAACAGCTGAGGAAGGGAGTTTGTGTGCTGAGTGCTCACCAAAGGAAACCTGAAGCTCTGAGCAAGGCAATAAGTATCTTCTCTGCAAATGAACAGTCCTGCTTCAAGGACACTTGTCTCAATCATCACTGCCTTCTAAAGCAATAAATGAAATAGCTTGCAGAACCCTGAACTTCTGATCAGAGAAAGGGAGAGCTTTGAGTTCAGTCAGACTGACTTTGCAAGGAAGAGAACAGGGGTAATTCTTTATCCTTACACAGATTCTTTCATCTAAGAACCTGCAAATATTAAAGCTTCATTGCCTGATTAAGTCTTTATGAGCTAGGTGGCAATCTCACA